TATCATTTTGCAATGCAGTTTGGCGCCCATGATGTAGTTGTATTAAAACCAAACATGGCTGATTCAGGAGCTCTTGGATGAGGTGTAGTTTACTGGCTAAAGGTAGTTGTGGGTATTGAAAGATATTTGGGTTACTCAGTTCATTTTGTTTTTTTCTTGTTATGTGTGATTTCCCTGAACTCTTCTGCTGCTGATTTCATGTGCATGTTGAACAGGATTCCTTAATCACTGTTGCTTTTGATAACATCCCAAAAGAAGATTTAAACAGTCCCTTCCCCCTAGAAAATATGTCAAACTAGGTTTGCTATTAAAATTCTTCAACAGCTTCTCTGCTTCTCATAGTGGCTTTAATTGTTATACACAAATATTCGCAAGCCTGAATGTAATGAAACTAGTATAGAATTCTCAGTACCAAACTTTCTTCCTTGATATTGGTTTTATAATCAATTTTATTACTATGTTTTACACTTTTACTGATTTAAGCTTATAAGAATTAAAAAAATCCAAATTAATTTGTTGATGCAGGTGACATCTTGTAAGATGAAGTATGCCTTGATACAATTGAGCAAAGTGTGCTAAAGGGACCTGCTGCCAATATAGTTCCTGTCTTGTTTGGAGAGAGACTGCCAACATTGTGAAAGAAGGATGCAATGTTCTCCCCTTTTAACTCCCACCTTGATCTCTCTCAGGTGTGCAATTGTTTACTTCCTTAGTTCTTTTTCTTTTTAGATGACAAATGGTTTACCTTTTTCTTTCCTCTTTTTTTTCTTTTTGGTTGGAGTGGGGGGTTGAGCGTGTTTGTGTTAAGTTACAATTCATAAGAACTAAATGTATTGGTTGCTAATCACTTTCTCTTACATGATTTGCATTCTTAAATTCAGTTTTGAGTTGAGAACCCAAAATTGAAACTGACTGAACCCAATAGAATAGAATTGACTGTAGTGCAATGCAGTTCAACGACCTAGCTTATATAATCATATTAATTGTGCAAGCCTCACTTGTGATCGTTATTTTTGTTTTGGGTTTCAAGATGTATATCATTTGGAGGCTAGTTCCTGTACAAGAGAGTGAACTGTGTAGATAATTTTGTTTTACAAAGCCAGAGTGATACTGCTTTACTTTTAAAAAATAGGGAAGAATTTTTGGTGTGTAAATGTAAGGTTTAGTTGACATTCTACTTCACAAGAAACATCTCAAATTTCAGAAAGGTAAATATTGAGTTGATTGATTTACTTAAGGTTTAGGGAGACCCATAAATTCTAGGAAATTTTGCTATATACAACCATTGTATATTTGTAATAAAAGGATCATGTTTCATTTGCTTCAGTGGAATATATAAGAGAACAAGCGTGAAGATGATAGCACATTGAATGAAGGTGGAGCTGAGATTTCTATTTTAGGTACAAACTAAAGGAGATTTGCTCAGAGTGGAGTCTAAGGTTCAGATTTTGGAATGATTACCCCATATGCTGCGCAGGTGCTATAGAATGTACCATGTTGTCAGTTGTATCATTACTTTAGGCTTCCATCCTGTTGACAAACTGACCAATACATGGATTGTTTGCTCTTATAAATTTCGACTATGTTTCAGGTTGACTTACAAAAGATGTTGAGAAGCAATGAGGATATAAACTGGGAAATTGATGTTTTGAGACAATGTTGCACCCGCTCTCCTAGTGTTGGTGCCATGGCTTGTGATGGACTTTGGAAGGTGTCGATGCCTGGGTAGTTGAAACCTAATGACCAAGTGGAGGAAGAAAGAGTTGGTACTGTAGCAAAATATTGGCGCCTATTTCTTAAGGCTCAAGGATCGATCAAGTCTAGACCTCAGCTGAAGATGGTCACTTGTGGTTTGTACATGGTGTCAACACTCAGGACCCAAGCGTTGAGACCTTTAGTTGCTGACAGCCTTTTTATGTATGTTATACTTGTACCCATACATTATATGCTGATCATCTTTATAGGGGATGATTTTGATCTGGACTATGTCCCGACGTTTTTTCTGATCTGGGTTTTACAAGTAAAAGTTTTGGTGTTGATTCTCTTTACTTTTCCGCAATTACATTTTAGGGATTTGATTACTAGTGGTTAGTAACAATGTCTTTGTCTCCTTAATAAGTTTACAGAAATGGACAAAAATGCCATCTTGATACGGCAATGCAACCTGCACTACTACTAAACATCATAGTACCTAACTTAACTGCAGATCAAGAGATCTATTTATTACTAATTTTAGAAGTTCCAAATGGATGTAGGCCACATTAGCTCCTCTAGAATATCATGAACATGGAAGCTGGCATTGGCTCCTTGATGATCTGCTCCAATTCCATTCATCTCTATCAGAGCATCCCAGTTGAAGCTCTTCTCTCCGAAGGCTACATGTTCTTCGAAATTGCTTACATTAGAATCCATCACTGACTCTGACAATTTCTCTGTAGGAATTCCACCTATTCCTTCTGTTTGTGACTGCTTTTCCTCTCTCACTATTCCAAGCTGCTGAAGGAACTCATTTAGATCAATCTGTGGTTTCTCTCGCTGCAGCATTTTCTCTGACAAAATATCCACATCTTTCTCCTTGGTTGTCAGATTTTCTATCTGCCTCTGGCTCTTCTTGCTTTTGACCTGAGTATCAGTTTTTGATTCACATGAAGATAAGCTAGAAGAAGAAGAAGAAGATTGGTTCAGAGCTCCGTTGTTCTTCTTGAGTTCTTCAAGCCTCTGATGGATAACATGAACACTAGGTTGGGCATTGATATTGAGCAGACCACAAGAAGGAAACATGGAGATGAAATCCTTTGAAGGAATCCATTTGAATCTGTTCGTGGGATGAGAATATGAGTTGGGTTGAAGGTGAGGGAGATTGAGGTAAGCATCAGGTCCATAGAGTCTCCTTGCAGCCTCATCATAAGCCAAGGCAGTTTCGTCTGCAGTAGCAAAAGAACCAAGCCAGAGTCTGGTTCATTTCCTGGTCCCCCTGATTTCTGCCACCCATTTCCCCCAAGTCCTTTGCCGGACTCCCCGGTATTGGCAGGAGGCTTTCAGAGGACCGCCTTTGCCTCTGGTTGGACCTTTCTTCCAAGGCTTTATAGAAGATTTTCTGAAGGTTTCCATGGGGAAGAAGTGAATGTGAGAACTGAGGAGACTGCAAGTGCAGTGAAAAGAGCAGCATGGCGCGTGATTATGTAGGAAGTGAGAGCGCAGATTTGGTTTAAATGCTTTCACGTTTCAGAAAAATTAAGCTTTGAAACCCCATGTGACCGTTAGTGAGTATTGTTCAGATGATTTCAAATCCATGTATGTTTGGAAACCTTGCAAATTATGGGCATACGGATGCACTAATCTATGCATGATCTTTAACATTTTGCTTCTCCTTTTTTTTTTTTTTTTAATGATTCTCTAAAATAAAAAAAGGTTTACATCCAAAAGACCAAACGATATTCTATGACTTTTGGCATTACATCTGCTTAATCACA